TATCTATCTATCTATCTATCTATCTATCTATCTATCTATCTATCTATCCATCCATCCATCCATGTATGTATCTTTCCATGTATGTATGTATGTATCTATCTATCTGTGTATGTATGTATGTATGTATGTATGTATCTGTCTCTGTCTGTCTATCTATCTATCTTTGAGTCAGGCTCTCACACTGTAGCCCAGTCTGGTCTTGAATTTACAGACTCCCTCCTGGTCTCCCTGAATGTTGAGGTTACAGACATGAGCTTTATGACCAGTAAAAAGCTCTAGGGAAGGCTGGAGATATGGCTCAGCAGTTAAGAGCACTGGCTCCTCCTCCAGAGGACAAGGGTTCAGTTCTCAGCACCCACATGGCAACTTGTACTGTCTGTAACTCCACTCACAGAGATATATGATCAGGCAAAACACCAATGTACATAAAACAAAAAAAATTTAAAAATGTAAAAAAACAAAAGCTTTAGGGAGACAGGGATGATGATGAGTTGACTAGTGCAACATGGAAGGCTCAGTCAAAGGGTCATAAGTTCAAGGTATGGCTGGACCACAAAATGAGTTCAAGGAACTCTTCAAGAGTTTAACAAACCAAGAGTTCAGAGGCTGGAACACGTACCCAGATACCATCTGTTGCACAGAGAGACCCTGACAGTGTACACAATTATTAACTCCTTTCTCCTTCCCGCAGAAGCCCACCAAGCCCACCTGAGAGTCTGTAGGACCTGACTGTTCCCCCAAGACTTCAGTGAGAGGGAACTGTCCCTAAATAATGCCGTTGTTCAGCCATACTGGTGATACTATTGGAAACAGTATGAAATGCAACAGTTAAAACAGTGCCTTTCATTTATGCATGTTTTTGTTTGCTTTGTGTGTGGTGTGTGTGCGCATGTGTGTGTACTGGCAGGCTACAATGGCATGCTGGTGAAGGTCAGTGGACAACTTTCAGGCATCAGTTCTTTCCTTCCACCACCTGGGTTATCATGTCCATCTCCAAGGGCTTTTACCTGCTGAGCCATCTCACCAGGCTCCAACAGTCCTTTTCATATGTACATATTTCTCAGTCATGACTGTTGAAGAAGAGAACATAAAAACCATGTCTTCCCTTGAGAATGTTCCAGCTTTGAAACTTCAGCCCTCTCCGGGGTATACGGACTCCTTTGGTGTAACCAGTAAGGACTGTACCTTTCTTCCGAGGAGAGTTTTTAACTCCATGCTGAGGTGAGTGCCAGGCTTGGCCAGGCTCTTACTCTTGTGGAAGCCAAAGCTTTGGCAATTAACTCTGCCAATCACAGCTGGCAGCTGTTCAAACACACCACACATGCAGAGCCTCTCCTGCTGGCAACCCCAGGAACCAGATTTCACCCCCTCCCTCAGAGCAGCCTTGGCCGCGCTCCCGGTGCTGCTGCTCTACCAACTAACCGTGTGCAGTGCTGCAGACGGGCCACATAGGAGGCTATCAGCGCATGCTCATCAGCCAAGAGATTGGGCATGTCCTGGCTATACTGTAACCTGGGAACGATGGAAGCAAAGACAGCAAGCATGACACAAGAACAGAGGGAGAAATGAACATGGATTAAAACCATAAATGTAAAAGCAGAAAAAAAAATGAGCAACTCATGATAAAGAAAACAATAAAACCACAATGCATAATGGAATATGGTGTTAGGTAATGGAGATCTGCCCAACCGATACACAGATACATTAAGTCTTTTCTCTTTTTGATTTGTTTGACTGGAACCTGTCCCAAAGGGAGAACCGTGCTTCCCGGTTTTGCTTGGGTTGTGGGCTCTGGGATAGGATTACTTTTTAGGAAAAGCCCTCTGGCAGGGGGCAAAAAACACAACTGAGCATAGTCAATCTATTTATTACTGAGTGACACCCTAATGATATGCTTTACTGGCTTTTTCTACACTTAAGAATTTCCAGTGTTACTGCACGCTACCTGCCAGTTAAGTATCTCTATTTCTATTGAGATTTCTATTTCTATTGAGTCCTCATAGAATCAGCACATGGATGAACTCATTAGAATTGCATTTAACAGCAAGAAAGGCTCCGTCTTACAGGTATGTGGAAGATCCATAAGCATGGGCGCTTAAAAAAAAAAGCAGCAACTTTTAGCTCTAGAAATGATAAAATTACAGAGTAATCTAATGGCTGCTCTCCATGCACCTATCACCTATCACTATAACGAGCCTCAACACTTAATCAGTTCTGTTTAGTCTAGCTTTCCTTCCCCAAATTCATTTTTTATAATTACAGTCATTCATTCTTTGGAGGGGAGGGGGGTGTGTCATGGCGCATACGCAGAGGTCAGGGAGTCAGTTCTCTTCTTCCACCAAGTGGGCTCCAGGAATCAACTCAAACCACCAAGCTTAACAGTATGTGCTTTTTGCCCACTGAGCCATCTTGCCCTTTCCCCTTAGCCACCTTTGTCTGCACTAAGGTGACTGAGCACCTAGATCTAATCATATTTAGATCTCAGGCAATCCTTTTACCTGGGAACCCCTGTGCCTATGTGTCTGTGAGACAGTGAAAACACTTCACAGAATCTCAGCGTTACCACAGCTAAAACTTTTGGTGTTCTAATGAAGCCCATCTAAGAACTTTTTTAGATCTTATAAAATGTCCTCAGTAAGCATAATCATTCAAAGCAAGTTTCCACTAATTTGATTGACATGCCTCTTTCATGTTGTGTTTGACACATTTCTATTTTAAATTCAGAACAGTTCTCTCTTCCCCCTGTTTCTTTCATGTATTTGTGAAGCCAAGCTACCTTGTGGAATATTCCACATTCTGGATTTTATTGGTTGCTTTCTGTGTGATCATTGAGCTTGTTTTTTTATGCTCTCTGATTACATCTAGACGCTTAAGTTTTTGCTTTTGTTTGCTTTGAGATAAGACAAGAATCTGGTGGTCTCTCATTCTTCAGCAACATTCAAGATGATCTCTACTGCACATTTATGGATGATGTTATTTGTCATATTGCTCCATTGTCACCTGCCTTCCTCCATCAACCTTTAATCTTATGGTGAGAGAAAAAGAGAAAGAGAAAGAGAAAGAGAAAGAGAGACAATGTTTATCAAGGACTGACTATGTAGCCCTGAGCGGCCTAGAACTCAAGAGATCTGCCTACCTCTGCCTCCACACCTGGACATTTCTAGCATTTAAAAAATATTTTATTTTCATTTTTAATTACATGTGTGGGTTTGTGCATGACAGTGTGGTACCTTTGGAGGCCTAAAGAGGGTATGGAATCTCCTGGAGCTGGGGTTACAGACACCCGTCTGCTGACCAACGTGGGCTAGTTGGTCCACAAGTTTCTAGGGGATTTTTCTCTCTGATCACACAGTAGGCGTGTTAGGATTACAAGTATGCACCATTCTATCTGGCTTCTTCCTGGATCCCAGGGAGGCCTGTGCAACAAGTGCTTTGGCCCACCGAGCCATCTTCTTGGCCTTGAATTTCCTTTGTTAAAAAAGCATGCGATGGTTTGAAGGAAAAATATCCCCTGTGGTCTCAGGCACTAACACTTGGTCCCCGCTGTTGGTAATGTTTGGTGAGGTTTAGGTGGCCAGCTGAAGAAAGCATGTCGCTGGGGACAGGCTTTAATATTAAGTCCACCACTTCCAGCTTGTTCTCTTCTCTGAGCCTGCATCTGCAGACAGGCACTCTCCGCTTTGCTTTCCCGCTGCCACGGCTGCAGCTGCCGTGATGCCCTACCATGACGGAGCCCCCCCCCCCAAAGAACAACAACAAACCCCCAAACATTCTTATCTAATACGTTGCCTTGGTTATGGTATTCTGTCACAGTAACAGCACAGTAACTAATACAGTGTGTCTGTGTGCACATGTGTGTGGGAGTACATGCACCATGGCATGTATGTAGGGTCAGAGGACAACCTTCATGAGTTGGTTCTCTCCTTCCACCATGTGGGTCATTCCATGCATATATGTACATGTGTGCATATACATATACACAATAGTTGTGTGTTATGGCTCTGCTACTGTTATTTTTTGTTTTGTTTTGGTTTGTTTTGTGGGTTGTTTTTTTTAGATTTATTATTTATGCAGTATTCTGCCTGCATGTATGCCTACAAGACAGATCTCATTGTAGATGGTTGTGAGCCACCATGTGGTTGCTGGAAATTGAACTCAGGACCTCTGGAAGAGTAGACAGTGCTCTTAACTTCTGAGCCATCTCTCCAGCCCCTGCTACTGTTTTTTTGAGACATGGTTTCATACACCTCATGCTGGTCTTAAACTTGGTATGTGGCTGAGGTTAGTGATGAGCTCCCTTCTCCCCTCCCAGGGTTTCTCTGTGTATCCTGGCTGTCCTGGAACTTGCTATGTAGACCAGGCTGGCCTCAAACTCAGAGATCAGCTTGTCTCTGTCTCCCAGTGGCATCAGGTGTGCCAGCATGTCCAGCTGGTGTTGGGCTCTTGCTCATCCCGCCTCCACATCACAAATGCTAGAATCACAAGCATGTGCCAACACACTCATCCACAGTTACTCTTTTAGACCTAATTAATTACTTGACAGCAGCTGAACCAGCTTCTGTTCTAGTGGATTTATTCTGTGCCTGCACACATGTGTCCAGGCACAAGGTGCCACGGTGACTGTGGAGGTCAACTGTGTGGTACTGCTTCTCTTCTCCCACCATGTGGGTTGAGGATGGAACACAAATCCTCAGTCTTGGTGGCAAGAACCATCTCACCAGTCCTAGAGTAATGATTTTACAATATAATTAAATAATAATAATAATGATAAGTACTATGCAGAAAAATAAAATGTGAAATGGATGGAAAGTTTTAGATATTTAGATTAGATGGTGACATTATGACAGAATTTAAGATAATGATGTCTTTCAACTCTTTAATTTCTATTCAAAGTGCTAACATTTAGGGCTGACCTCCAGTGAAGGCTAAAAGCATCAAGTAACTCTAATGCACTGGTGGACAATTATTTACTAATACTGTCTGCCTTAGTGGAAGCAGCCCTCCCAATCACCAAAGACCAGCTGCGCTGATGAAAGTGTCTATTATACTCCTCACTGAAGGAGTTCAACCACTCAGCCATACTCATCTTCCCCCTCACTCGGCCCGTGGGTGTGCTGAAGTGAAGTTGTAAGAGATTCATCTCCATATTTAAGATTCTTAATAATGTCACAGGGACCAAATTTTGTACCTTTGATTTTTTTTTCCCCTGCAACAATCAGAAGATACTATTAACAAAACAGATGTGAAGGCCTCTGTGACCTGCTGTAATCAGAGGCCATTATCTCCTGTGTTGAATTCAATAATGAATAACAGACTGATTTCCAAGGCACTGTTCCTTGGCTGTGATACTCCAGAGTCTAATAAGAATAGCTTGTCTTTAGAAATACAGTTTATCATTTTAGCAACCTTATTCTAAATTCATGAAGTTAAAGTGTCTGCCTTCTCAAAAGGCCAGATAGTGAGTATTTTAGGCTTTGGTGGTCACTGGATTCCTGTTACAACTGCCATTGATAGCATGCCACAGATAGCATGAAGTCAAATGGACATGGTGTGTGGCAATAAAACTTTATTTATAAAACAAGGCTGTTACCTGCAGAGTGCAGTTTGCAGTCTATATGATAGCTGAAAGGTGGTCTGAGGCTAGACACATCTCACTCACTATGTCATCATCTTCTGCAGGGTTCAGGAGTCTTTGTTTCATATTTTCAAATTTGGGTAATATTAGTCACTAAAGAAGCCTAGGGCACACTGCCTGGTTTGACTACTTTGTTAAAACCTACTTTGACTGCAAATATGTTCCAGAGTCCTCAGTGCCTTGGATGAATTTAGGTGTAACCCAGGGATGCACTGTGATACTGGTGAGAGGCTAAAGCAAGGACAGCAGTTCCACTCTTCCATGGTGACACAGTCAGGAACTGGCACATTCTATTTCTTCGAACTCCTCTCTGACTATGGATCAACTGTAAGGTACTCCAAATCTAACAGGGCCATCCCAGGCTACAACATATCAGTTTGTATTGTCCCTGGCAGGCTATGGTTATGCACAAGTCTTGGGTGCTCTTCAGTTTGGCCTAAGTTTGAAGGGAATGAGATAAAACCTATCAGATAACACCATACAAAATGAATGAAGGCCAGCACAAGGATAGAACATGGAGCCACATGAGCTAATTGGCTTGAACCAAAGGTCAAAATGAGAATAAGAAAACCAATATTTAGGAAACAAAGCAATACTAGCAAGCTAAATCAAAAGTCATATGCAGTCCGTTGAGATGGCTCAGCAGATAAAGGTGTTTGGTATCAAGCCAGATACCAGAATTTGATCCCCAAGACCCACCTGACAGGAGGAGGGAACAGACTCCTATGAGTGGTCCTTTGGTCCACACTTGCCTCCCTCTCCAAAATACATAAAAATAATACAAATTATTGTTATTTTTAGAGGGGCTCGAGACAAGTTCTCTTTATATAGTCTTGGCTGACTTGGAACTCCCTATGTGGTCCATGCTGGCCTCAAA